TCAGTTCAGTCCAGTCGCTCAGTCGTGTCTGATTCTTTGCAACCCCATGAGTCACAGCACGCCTGGCCTCCCTGTCCATCACCAACTCTTGGAGTTGACTCAAACTCATGTCCATTGAGTGGGTGATGCCATCCAACCATCTTATCCTCTGTCATCCCCTTCTCCTCCTGCCCCAATCCCTCCCAGCATCAGGGTCTTTTCCAGTGAGTCAACTCTTTGCATGAGGTGGCCAAAGTGTTGGAGTTTCAGCTTCAGCATCAGTCCTTCCAATGAACACCCAAGACTGATCTCCTTTAGGATGGGCTGGTTGGATCTCCTTGCAGTCCAAGGGACTCTCAGGAGTCTTCTCCAACACCCCCAACATCAATTCTTTGGCATTCAGCTTTCTTTACAGTCCAACTCTCACATCCATACATGACCACTGGAAAAACCATAGCCTTGCCTAGACGGACCTTTGTTGGCAAAGTAATGTCTCTGCTTTTTAATATGCTATCTAGGTTGGTCATAACTTTCCTTCCAAGGAGTGAGCGTCTTCTAATTTCATGGCTGCAATCACTGTCTGCGGTGATTTTGGAGCCCAAAAAAATAAAGTCTGACACTGTTTCCCCATCTATTTGCCATGAAGTGATGGGACCAGATGCCATGATCTTAGTTTTCTGAATGTTGAGCTTTAAGCCAACATTTTCACTCTCCTCCTTCATTTTCATCAAGAAACTTTTTAGTTCCTCTTCACTTTCTGCCATAAGGGTGGTGTCATCTGCATATCTGAGGTTATTGATATTTCTCTTGGCAATCTTGATTCCAGCTTGTGCTTCTTCCAGGCCAGCGTTTCTCACGATGTACTCTGCACATAAGTTAAATAAGCAGGGTGACAATATACAGCCTTGACGTACTTCTTTTCCTATTTGGAACCAGTCCTTTGTTCCCTGTCCAGTTCTAACTGTTGCTTCCTGACCTGAATATAGGTTTCTCAAGAGGCAGGTCAGGTGGTCTGGTATTCCCATCTCTTTAAGAATTTTCCATAGTTTATTGTGATCCACACAGTCAAAGGCTTTGGCATAGTCAATAAAGCAGAAATAGATGTTTTTCTGGAACTCTCTTGCTTTTTTGATGATCCACTGGATGTTGGCAATTTGATCTCTGGTTCCTCTGCCTTTTCTAAAACCAGCTTGAACATCTGGAAGTTCATGGTTCATGTATTGCTGAAGCCTAGCTTGGAGAATTTTGAACATTACTTTACTAGCGTGTGAGATGAGAGCAATTGTGCAGTAGCTTGAGCATTCTTTGGGATTGCCTTTCTTTGGGATTGGAATGAAAACTGACCTTTTCCAGTCCTGTGGCCACTGCTGAATTTTCCAAATTTGCTGGCATGTTGAGTGCAGCACTTTCACAGCATCATCTTTCAGGATTTGAAATATCTCAACTGGAATTCCATCACCTCCACTAGCTTTGTTCGTAGTGATGCTTTCTAAGGCCCACTTGACTTCACATTCCAGGATGTCTGGCTCTAGGTGAGTGATTACACCATTGTGATTATCTGGGTCGTGAAGATCTTTTTTGTACAGTTCTTCTGTGTATTCTTGGCACCTCTTCTTAATATCTTCTGCTTCTGTTAGGTCCATACCATTTTGGTCCTTTATCGAACCCATCTTTGCATGAAATGTTCCCTTGGTTCCATCTAGTCCAGAGGCTGTCAATTCAGATGACAGAAGGACCAGGCAAGTGATATAAACGCATGAACTAGCCTGGGTGTGGGAAATGTGGCCACACAGAGATGGCCTACACCATCTAAGGGGCCACCATTACTCAGCTCCTAAAATTAATTGCCTGGTCTTCAAGTCTTTTAAGAAAATATGGAGACCTGGAGTTGTATGAGAAATCTTTGAATGTTGAAATGTTAACCAACAATTTTTAAGTGTTTCAATCATCCTAGGGCCAAACCAGAAGCATTTGTGCATGAGCTGAAGGTTTGTAGCCTTTGATCTAGGCTAACACCTGTATTTTTACAAGTACAAATCCTCAAGCCCTAAAAAACAGCATAGTATAGCTCACAAACTGTGTACTTGGAACCAGTAAAGGCTGGGGCTCAAATCTTTCATTAGCAGTTAGTTTACCACATGATCATTTGAGCAGGAGTCTTAATTGTGGAACCCCAGTTTCCTCAACTGTGAGAGGGGGGTAATTATGCATCCTCCATAAACATTCTAGAGAAAGTGAATAAGATCACAGATAATGCATGAAAATCACGAGGTAGATAAGAGGCACTCCGTGTGTGCATGCTCGCGTGTCGAACTCTTTGTGACCCTACGGACTGTTGCCCACCAGACTCTTCTGTCCACGGGGATTCTCCAGGCAAGAATACCAGAGTTGGTTGCCATGCCCTCCTCCAGGGGATCTTCCCGACCCAGGGATGGAACCCGTGTTTCCTGCACTGCAGGAAACGGCGCCACCAGGGAAGCCCAAGCGCTCAGGGTCTCCTTTTCCGTCAAGGCCAACAAGTTAATGGTTATGAAGCAAGGGTGCATAACCTTTACCTCCTGAATCCACTGGTTCTTTCTCCCTGCATCCCAGCATTCCTTCACCTGGATAGCTCTCATTTTCAGAGATGTGAGGTAGGATTTGCCCTAGAAACTGAGCACAACAGCAGCACTTTATAGACACCTGCTTCCTGGTTCTTTCTTTTCCCAAGAGCAAGGACCAACCTGTGTACGCCTCATTTATTTTTTCTGGAACAAAAGTGACAACCAGTATAAAATGAGAAAATAAATCTGTGTTACATTGCTCTAAATCATAGTATGCCCATCTGTGAAACCTGTCCATGAAAAGGCCTGTGAGCCTGAGATCAGCCTCTGATTTGACATCCTGATGCCTAAGGAATATGTTTTAAAACATAGATTTTATTATTATTCAAATACACTGAGGCCAACAGATAAAAGAGATGATCGCTATTGAAAAGATAGTTTGTAAAGAGATAAAATAATAGGAGCTTAAAAAATGTTCATCTTTATCCAAAAAATAATCTACAAGAAGATTCAGATTACATATTAATTAGCAGGGAGGTGAATCAAGTTGAAAGAATATGGAACATTATCAATACATTCACTAATAAATAGCATTTTCTAATGTTTCTATGTCTTATAGTTTCCTAGCTTCTCCAAGTTTTATGCTATTTTTATAGTGTTTTATACTATTATTATAATTTTTCTATATCATTTAACAGATTTCAATAAACAATGAGTACTTAATAAATATGCAATAATGATTATTAATATTAATTAAAGCTGTTGAAAATTTTTAGAAAAGAAAAGGTAGTTTGTTACTCTCAGTTCCCAAGAAGCACCAGGGATGGTTGAGAAGCAGAGGGTTAGGGTTAGCCCTAATTTTCTGGAGGAAATTTTACAGGAGGAAAATTAGGCCAGAAACTGTAGTTTCTACAGGAAGGAACAGCAAGGCAAGGAAAGTAGGTTTAGGGGTGGCTAGTTTGAAGAACTTCAGTGGACTCTGAGGTGTAGAGAGTGTTTCTAGTGGTCTGGGACTTGGTCATGGTGATTAGGTGATTAGGGCAGGGGGACAGTGAGGTCCTGAGAGCTCATAAAGGAGGTGCTTGAGGAACCGGCTCTGGTTTGCACATGAAAGTTGTGCTTACAGGCAAGTCCTTTACCATGTCTTGGCTACCGCTGTGAGGAACAGTCCCTTTCTGGGTCACCAAGGCCCCATATGTCAAAGTATTAGGAATACAGAAAATACAAAGGCATGATTAATACAGAGTATCTTCAAACCAGTGAGTATTGTCCCCTCCACGCATCCCTGGAAAGATATCAGAATGTCACAGAGGAAGTTTCCATAATAGGCTTGCAGAATAAGAAACAGGGAGGGTGATTAAAATCCTCCACTGGGAAAGGACCCTTGTGTAGAAATAGAAGATATGGTCAAGGTGTCCAGAGAAGAAAAGCAGCAAGAGAGTAACGCACCCAGGAACTCAAAGAAAGTTTTCACATGCTGCTAAGAAAAAGAAAGTCTTGGGGGTGGGTGGAGCTCCAGGTAAGTGTGGTCCATGGCCTTAGTCTCTTAACATCTTGGCTACTTTTTCTAAGGTTAAATGAAGCCCCACTCTCTCTGAGTGGAGAAAATTAAATTTGAATACAGAGACTGCAGTGGAATGAAGGTAATTCTACTTGAGTGCATTGACCTTTATCAACCATTTCACCATAATTTCTGGAGCATGAATCCAATGTTAGGCATCCTCTGCAACTGTTTCTATAAAAAAGGATCCTTCTCTTCTGGCTCATGTCCAAGCCATCATTCTCAAGCATCCGAGACGGGGAAAGAAAAATCAAATCCATGGAGTTCTGAAATCTAGTTAAAGAATAGTTGTAGGAGACAACGAAAATAGCAGTCAGGCCGCATAAATCTCTAGAGAATATGGGTTTTCTTCCTGTGACTGACTGAAAAAACAATTATATTTCTCAGTATTCCTCCAACTGAGACCTGGTATTCAGCACTTGATAACATACAAATTGCTGGTTTGAGGCTCTTTTTTCAGTTGCACTAGATAGTTAGGAAAGAATGGCTAGGCACACATAGGCAGATCCAAGCTCATACAAAAAAAACATTTAAAAGCAGAATATCAAGGATTTTCAAGGCTGGAAAACATTTTACTATTTAAGAAAAAATATTTTTATTTGCAAGAAATGGAAATACAAAAGCATAACAATTTAAATTCATTTTTTTCCAAACTAAATACAAGTATCCTACAAAGCATTTGCTTTTTTTTGGTATTTATTTAGCTATGATAAAGAATAAAAAGCCATTAAAAAAAAACAGCATGATAATTGACAGATAATAAGACTCACAATGTAATTAGACTTAAACATTACTGGTCTATATAACCTGTTACCAAAGAGAGAAAGCCCAGCCTGTCAGCACAAACATTAAAGCTCATGGTTGATTATAGTCCAGAGTCTGCTCAGCATTGTTTAAAAACGGTCGCCCACAATTTGTCAAAGAGTGCTGGTGTTTTTCGTAGACTCAGAAAATATTCCGTCTGAAAGGGAGATTTGCTGAACACTGTAGGCCATGGGTCCATGGTGCAAAAAGTTCATGTTCTCAGCCAGCTGGTGAGCAAGTGAAGGAGCAGAGAAACAGCTAAAATTGCTGGTGTTGCTTTCCCAGGATGCAGAGGCTACTAGCCGGAACTCACAGAGGATGGGATGAACCGAACAGGAGATGAACATCTCCAGTATGAGGCAAAAAACCCTCAACTTTGCACAGCGGGGCCAGCCCGGGGGTAGGAGGCACTGCATTCTCCGCCGAGGAACTTGAAAGCTTACAGCGTGCTCATGCAGAAAGAGATCTGCTCAACCTAATCCACAAATTGCTGCACCTCCCATATCACTTAGCTGTTTATCGTCTCATAATAATTAGTTGCCCTTGTTTTCTCCTTCTATAACACTAAAAGACTCATTTAGCACGTGTGTGCATGCTAAGTCACTACAGTCACGTCCGACTCCGTGATCCTATGGACTGTAGCCCCCACCAGGCTCTTCTGCCCAGATATTCCAGGCAAGAATACCAGAGTGGATTGCCATGCCCCCCACTCCAGGGGATCTTCCCGACCCAGGAATCGAACCTATGTCTCTGGCAGCTCCTGCATTGCTGGTGGATTTTTTTTACTGCTGAGTCACCAGGGAATCCCTTACTTTGCACCCAGCATTTAGTAAGTATACAAGAATTATCATTTTCCTTCCTTCTAGAAGCCCAGACATAGCATTCCTGAATTTTCTGTTACACAAAATGACAACATGAAACATGTCCTGTGGTAGGTGGTACTGACCCTTTGGCCATGGAGACATGGAGTCTGAATCCTCAAAGGCACTGGATTCTTCTGTGCTGTGAAAATGTTCTGCTCTGAGGATTTATAATACCTTTAATCCCGGCTGGTCATTTTTTGATGCGACTGCACCTTGGCAAAATGGGATTTTCCTAATGGACGTTACTGTTTCTTTTCTCCTGAGGTATAGATGTGATCAAGACTCACTTTTAGGAAACCATTTTTGAGCCTTTGGAAGTTTCATCACCCAAGCCCACTTCAGTTTAGTACTACAAGGGTGTATACAAAATCTCCCAATGACAAGGTGGCCCTCAGTCATCCTGGATTCAAATATAAGGCACATGTAATGCACAAATGAGTGTCCAAGACAAGGGAGGAATGTATTCTTGTGTGTCTATATGCGTCTATGTTTGCGCCCATGCAAGGGGTAAGGGAAGGGAGGGAAAGAGCGAGCTGGCACTTGGGCCTTTCGAATAGTTATTGATTAATGAAGCTTCCTCAGGCCCCTATTCCCTAATATTCACTAAGGCCTCTTGCAACACTCTTTCTTGGGAATGAATGACAACTCAGTGAATGAATGGATGAGTGAGTGAAACAAGAATCTGAACTCTGTCTCTGACCACTTCACAGGCCTCTACTCTCTCCTGGAGATGCCCTCCCAGAGGGTCTTATCCGATCACATGTCTCCTAACTGTCTCAGCTAAAAAGGAATTCAAAGAAAATGACCTTGACCAGAGCACTACCTGCTAATGGTCTGTCTGCACTGCAAGTAGGAGAGCTAGTGTCTGGAATAAAGACTGGACTCCACAGAACTGAATTACTGACAAGAGCACTTGGCAGAGAAGGGGGAGGCTACAGCCTTCTCTTCCATCTCCCATTTCCCCACATTAGCAAGGCTGGCAAGGATGCTCCATTTCCCCGATGGGAATTGGGAGGTCTCTGAGGATGCACCCTATGCACAAACGACATGTGTGTTCAGAGGAGCTGGCCCTGAGCATCCTCTCATCCTTGTCTTTTGGTCAGTGTGAGAACACAGAGGAAAGAGACACAAGTGCAAAAAAGTTTTTAAATAAAACACTTGTGTCAAAAACTCTGGACACAGACTCACTGCCAGAACAAAAGTGAACCAGTTCAACACTCTTGCTCAAGGACACATGAGAATCATAGCCCTATCTTGGCATTCATGCATGAGGAAGGAAAAAACCCACGGTGTTTACAGTTGGTTTGTAAATAAGCTGCACTAAAAGTTGCTTTCACAATCTACAAATTAGGTCTCTAAACCAAAATCATTTATACTAATAAAAAGGTTATCTACTTTTGCCTGTACTGGTGTCAAAACTCATCTCCACCTCCTGCCCAAAAGGAGCAACCTAGTTCAGCTGTCAGATTTTTATATAACACTCTCTTTATGTGAGCTAGGCTCCAGAGTCCTAACACTTCACAGAAATCCTTTCTTAAACCTGGCACTGAGACCTTTCATTTACAGTAGCCATTTCTAAGTGCAAAGTCCAGAGCTGTGAATAGAACCACACTGGGGAGTCTGGGTTACTCAGGTCTCACCCAGTAAAAAAAATATATGTTCTCTGAACTTTTTACAAGACATCTCCTCCACTAGGCTAATCAAAAGAAGAGAAGGGGAAAACCTGCTGACCTAGTGGAAAATATATTAATATATTTATCATGAACATTGATTCTTTATGATTGATGGTTGTGCTAACAGTCTCAAACTTTTCAAAACTGAGGTTTCGAAGCTGAAAGCCTGCCACTATCTAACATCTTCAGGGCTAACCAAGTATTCCTGACTCATCTATGACATGGGATGGTTCTGGGGGGAAAACAAATCCACTGACATTGTGAGCTTAACCCTGGAAGAGAAAATGTGCACATTAACTATTTGGAACCAATCTGGTGTTATCCAACTCTTCAGCATCCTCTGGACTCCATTACATTCTCCTAAAGGGGTAACCGTTTAGTTCTCTTCTTCGCCTGAGCAAGGAGTGGGAAGCAGAGGTCTTTCTTAAAACAGCAGCAGCTGGTCCTTGGATCCCCTTACAGTGGCCATTTGAGCCCTCAGGCTGATGTCCTCCGTCTCTAGACACAGATTCAGTTCTGGAAGAATGGCTGCCCAGAGATCAAGCCCTGTTGTTTGGAGGGCTGGCGAGAGTGAGGTCAAGCGAGGAAATAAAATCCTCAAGGCACTAAGGATGGGCCCTAGGAGTTGGTTCCGACACAGGAAAAGTTTCACTTTCTAATCATCCAAATACAAGAGTTAATACTACGTTCTCACCTTCTTAGCCACCCTTGACCCCACCCCATGGGCTGCCAGTGCCTGATAATTACATGACATATTAAAGAGAGGGATGGGTCAGTAGCAGCCCTTGGTTGGCAGACACCAGTCAGACCCAGGAAGGTCTAGCACAGAAGAGAAGGAGAGAGGAAAGTAGAGAGAAACAGAAGGGAACAGGGCATGTACTAGCAACCCTCCTCCCACACAGCCAGCCTGTCTGGTCTCAGCCTTTGCTGGCCAGTGGATGGGGCAGTGAGAGGAGACCACTGTGATCCTGATCCAACTTTACACAGCACCAAGAAGAGGAACTTGGCCATCTCCCTGTCGGAACTTTCTCCATCACAGTAGGGAGACAGAGGAATCACTGACGGTGAGCCCTGAAGGTACCAGATCTGCTTATGAGTTTGTTGTTGTTCAGTCTCTAAGTCGTATCTGATGCTTTGCAACTCCATAGGACTGTAGCACGCCAGGCTTCCCTGTCCTTCACTATCTCCCAGAGTTTGCTCAGACGCATGTCCAATGAGTCCACTGCTTATGAGGTCTGATGGTAAATGCTAATGATGCCAAATTCTGTGGCTGATATGGACCAGAGGGCCCAGGAGTGACTTAATCTCTCTTAAGTACAGGTTCCAATGACAACAGAGATGAGAGAGAAAACCAGAGACAAGAGACTTCAAACTAAAAGTGCTTCAGCTACTTCTAAAAATAAAAAACAAAATGTGAGCAAATTTCTTACACAAAATCTTTTACAAGCTAGGCAAAAACATTAAAGTGGAGTCTTCTACATTATACAATAAAAAGTCTATTTCTATTTCTTATTTGTATGAAAGAGGAAAGTTGTTTTTTTTCTTTAAACTACAAAAGTTACTCTTAATCATTAAAAAAAAAAAAAAGAAGTAGGTTGGGGGATTAGGTCGTGTCTCTTTGGGTGAGCTGCAAAGTGGCCAAACCTGACTAGAAAAGGTAAGACACACATACACAAATGTCACCTGCTCTGACCCCAGGAGCAGGCCTCAGGCCCCACCTCTGTATGGAGGCAGAAGAGGAAGGGAAAGCAGACGGTTCGGGGGGGGGGGAGGTGGGGAAAACTGGGCTAACATGGCTGTCTGAAACGCCTGGGGTCAGGGCTTCCCTGGCATGGGCACAGGACCCAAAAAGCACCGGTCCACAGAGCCTCAGACCTAAGCCCGGCTCCATCTTCCCCTCTGAGTTCATGCTACAGGAGGACACGTGCTTAGGGAGGTTCCCCAACTATAATTAGAAGCTTCCAGCAAAAAAAGAAAAGAAAACACAAGACAAAACACGGCCTGGAAGAGTGGGGAATCCCAGAGTCCAGGCTGCCCTCTTCGATCCACAGGCCAACAGGGGACCTTGTGAGCCTGGAGGGGAGGCGTCCGGATGTCTTCAGTGGTCGCCCGGGGAAGCCTCTGCAAGCTAATAAATACTATTTACAAATGGGGAGGAGAAGCCAAGGAGGCAGAACTAGGGGTGTGTGGGGACACAGACTGTGGAGAAATCCTACAAGCAACATGGTGGGGCAGGTTTGCCTGGAGTAGAGAAGCCTGATTGCTTCAGGCATTGCACTTGCGGCCTGAGGGTACGAAGGGGGCGCCTTGCTCCAGCCAAGGGGCCCAAGGCCGGGGCCCAGGGCAGAGCGGCAGGGGGCGCCCGCGGGGCACCGCAGAGCCAGGCTGAGGAAGGCAGGACGTCAGTCAGTGCTTCGCCAGATTCCAACAAGCATCCTGGTAAAATTTTTGTGGGGTCGCGAGGGAACAACAGTCAGCTCTGCTTCAAGGAGGCGGTCACACCCACCCCGGTGAGAATCGGGCCGTATCTTTTTGGCACTGTCGGTAGAAACAAGCCTGCTTGTCCCACCCCGACCGAAGATAATTGCCTATGGCAGTAAGCTAGGAACGCGGGGAGCTCCCCTCTGCAGGGAGGGACATGGGACCGGGGGAGGCGCTCTCTCACCGCAGGCGGAAATCCCAGGCTATCCTCCCATCCAGAGCCAGGACCGCTGGTCCAGGTCTTCGTCCAGATTGGGTGGGCAAAAAGGAAAAGCTTATGACAAAAGGTGGTTTGGAGATGTAAAGGCAAAGTGAAGAGACAGAGGGAGGTGGCGATAGCCTCTTTAAAAGGTGGCGTTCACTCTTCTGTCGAGTTCTACAACTTTTAGGGTCTCATTCCCCTCCAGGTTGGTGCTGACCCTGCGAAGGCATCAGAAGGAGAAAGAAGTCTCACCATCATGCTTGGTGGGATGACGCAGTCACCCCATGACTGGACTTAGCAGGCTGGCCCACGCATGCCTCTTGTATTCTTTCCTCCCAGCAGCACTTCTCTGTTCCCAAAGTCTCCTGCTACCCGCCTGTCCACCATCCACATTCCTGCCTTTATCCTCATGCCAAAGGAGTCATCCCAACCCAGAGGATAAACATGGTGGTTTGATACTGATTCCCTGTACGTTGCTTAAAATTACTGTATTCATTGAGGATAAATACCCCATGCTAAACCCTGGGAAGGAGGAAATAAAAGGATAAAGGCTGATCCTTAGTCTAGAATAAAGTTTTTTTTTTTTAAATTTAGATAAAGATGAAACCTTTTTAAAGATTAAAAGATTCTAGATGAAGGTTAAAAAAACAAAGCCCAAACTATCATGAAATAACAATGAATATATCATAGAAAATAAATACATTATTATATTGTGTAACAGCCTAGAACATCTCCTAGACGTTCAGAGGAAGGCAGTGAGGGCTCTGGTATCAGGGAGACATCCCAGAACAAGAGGGATTTCAATGGGGCCTTGAATAGCTGAGACACGAGGAAAGAAGACTTTTGTCATGAGCCAAGTTATTGAATGGCTAAGTCTTCTCTGGCTCCCAAGAGTAGTCTGCTCTGGCTTCTACAATTCTCTCTAGGAAATAATAGTAATATCTAACCTTGTAAAGTATTTCAAAGGATTTATATGTCATACTTACATAGTTCTTAAAATAATAAGTGCTATAAATGTTAAATATGTGTGTAGAATATAAACATATAAAAGTATATATAATTACAAACTTTCCCCTGCAGCATTAGGGGAAGAAAGCTCAAAACTTTGAAACAAAAACTTTCCTACTTGTATTGGAATAGCATCATCTCTAGGGGCACGAGGTCAGCTAGACCACCAACCACGCCACGGATAACCAGGACTGTATGCAGACACTCCTTCCTGAGTCATTTAGTGTACCCAGGTACCCCCTTACAGGGTAACAATCCCCAGCAGTTATACAAGTCTCTATAGAAGGACTCTTCCTCTATCTAAAGGAAACAACTCATGGAGAACTGGAGACAAATATATGTTATTTTCAATAATGGAAACACAAGAATAGTGCCTCTCAAAGTGTCCTTTAGTATTAATATATAACTATCTAAGTATAGTTAACACATGTTTGCATGTGTGCTAAGGTCACTTCAGTCATGTCCAACTCTTTGTGACTTCATGGACTGTAGCCTACTAGGCTCCTCTGTCCATGGGATTCTCCAGGCAAGAATACTAGAGTGGGTTGCCATGCCCTCCTCCAGGGGATCTTCCCAACCCAGGGATCGAACCTGGGTCTCTTATGTCTCCTGCCCCATCAAGCAAGTTCTTTACCACTAACGCCACCTGGGAAGCCCTAATGCATGTTTATTTACATGTAAACCATAAAACTACACGTTGATATATAAGATGACATATATGTATCTCCAGTTGGAAGGAAGCTTGGGAATGTGCCTTGAGGCAGCATTTGCATAGCAAGTACACTGCTGTTACTGGACTGTATGCTTACTTGTGAGACTCTGAGGAGAGGAAAAGACAGGGAGGAAGGGAATCAAGCCCTTTCCCCAGTTCTTGGAGCCTGCACTGCCAGCTCCCCAGTGGCGTAGCAGACACGGGGCCAGCTCTCACCGTGTCTCTTCCAGTCTCTGTGAGGGCCAGCCGTTGACAAACAATGGACTCTGCAGAGCCCAGGTGCCGGCAATAGGTCCTGAAAAAGCCGAGGGCTGGACCAGACCAATGGGAAAGTCTACTCTGTACACTGCAGTTTGCTGACTCATAACCCATCACTGGTGCCTTAGAGGAGGTGAACCTGTGTCTGTTTGACTCACATGTGCTGCTGCAGCTCCAACAGCACTGATTTCTCCAAGCTGGTCTCATTTGAGATAATGAAATGGGGAAGATCCACGTCCGGCCTGGACTCCAGCCCTTTTGCCCTGAGCAGAGCGGAGCCTCGGTCCCAGCGCCCCAGCTCCCCAGCTGAGGCAGAACTGGGTGGCTCCTCCAGGGGAGAATGTTCCTCATAGATCAGCAGGTTCCTGGATCTCACTGAGAACAAAGCAAAGTAACAGGTGTTACAAGAGACCACAAGAGTACATCATGCCTCCCCCTAGATGCTCAGGGAGGGGAGATGACAATTCATGGGTTCTTATTGCCCAGGACTGAGGGTGCCAACTGGAGTTGGCTTTCTATAAAGGCTTCAGGATTTCAGAGTTTGGTGTGTTGAAAAATGATACCAATTATAAAGTGCTGGAAGAACAACAGAAGAACAAATACACAGGAAGGAAACTGCCACCCCCACTGCTTTGAAAATAAAACTCCCCTCCAGGCCACCCCCACCCCTGCAACCATCTGGAGGAAACAATTCATGGAGAATAGGAGTCAAATATTTGGAGGTGTCCAGACTCAGCTAAAGTAAGCATCCTCAATGAATAGGTCTTGCATACGGAGAAGGTACAAGGGCAGAAAACTGTGTTTTCTTTCATTTAGAAACTAGAGAGGAGACACAAGGCTAAAGCTATAAGTCAAACAATGGAGACACACTCTTTTGTTTTACAGAATAGCTGCATAGCTAGATGGCTCAGGAGCAATTTTCTACAACATAGAAACTTTGCTCTCATCAACTTCCATTTAAATTTAGAGATACATTCCCTTGGAGAAAAAAAAGAATTCCCCAGGAGACCACTGCAATTATTTGTTGAAATGCTGGACCTTCTGTCATATACCTGGCAGAGACACACCTACTTCAGATGTTTCAGAAACACAAAATTATGCCTACCCTCAAAATCCAGTACCCCTAATTCCATATTTGTTCTTACTAGTGTATGTATCTATTTCACGATCCCTACATACCATTCTTTTATTTACCACATACTTAAAAGAGATCATTGATATAGATGAGACTATCACATCTAACACCTGTGTCTCCAAATTCTCTAAATATTGGGCATTATATTTTGCAACACAGGCTGATTGTCTCATGTCACTTTACAGATGCTTACTGCGGTAACTTACATTTCCACTGAGTAGAATTCCTTTAAAATGTGATGGAAAACTTACTGTTCTCCCACCCCTTCCCTACAAATGCACATCCCTCCCCGTGTCAGAACTCAAAAAGAAGATGTCAGAATCTGCCAGGGAACATAGTCTAGAGCAGAAGTCTGCAAGCCATGCTCTGCGGAGCTCTAGAGAAATCCCAGTGTGTGAGGACCCCAAGGGGAGACCCAACAAGTGGACTGGGCACTTCTTCCCATGGCCCTCTTCCTCCCTTCAGTGGAGAAGTTATACTTTTACCACTTTTTAAACATTAGGCTTTCATATGTAAGCAGAAGCCAAGAACACTACCTGCAAAGTCCTGGAGGTCAGAGTGATGACAGCTAACTACACACTCACTAATTTGAGGGCAGATGCTTGTGTTGATGCTATTCAATCAATGTTTTTTATGGGAGAGGGGGAACAGTGACATTGAATTGTCTCCTCCCAAGGAAGGGATATATATATGTGTTTTTATAGAGAAATGATTTTGAGACCACTGCTCTGTACCCAAGGAGCCTTATCATAGAGCTATTTCAAACCAAGTGATTTAATACAGTCCTCCCAACAACAACAAAAATTTTAGACTTTCACATAAGACTTCTTTCAGAAAGTTAAGTTTTGAGAAATGAAAGAGAAAAGAAACAAGACATCTCCCCAGCTGCTGAGTGCTGTCTTACCCACGGAGGATGTGTAGGGTTCCTGCAGGGAATGCTGGGTGGGCAGGGCCATCTTGGTGGCAGAAGGATAGGGCCCATAGCCCTGAAAGAAGCTGCCAAATGCTACGGCAAAGCACAGCACCACGACCTGCAGGGTGAGGAGAGAACGTGGTCGCCATCAATTCCAAGATGCACATAACAAGCCTGCAGACCTGCAACTCCTGGGAGGTCTGGAAAGACGACTCTCCACTGTCTGGCCAGCAGACCACACCCAGGTCAATTGCTGTCACATCATAAGAGAGAAACAGCCTCGGAGCGGGCTGTGGTTCCTCCAACCCTCAGCACTTGGACGTGGCAAGCTGGGGAGAGGCTGGAGCCTGGGGAGTGGGCCGAATTGGTGACGGTGCTGTTCATTTGGGAAACTCACCATGAGGCATGTGCCAGTCTGCGTGCCAGCCAGCTTGCAGGTGCGAGACACCTTGCCCATCACCAAAGTCTGAAGCTTCTGCAGCTGCTGCAGGAGAGTTCTGCAAACACAACAAATCAAAACCGTGAAGGGCGTCTCAGAGACGAGAGAGAACTCTTGTCAGTGGTCTCCGCCCCAGGCTCCAGGGAGGCTCCTGTGGCTTTGTGTCTGAATCGGAACACAGTACCAAGAAAAAGGTTCCTCTGATGAAGACACAGACACCACTGTCTTCCAGCACCAGACTCGCAGAGCTTATGGGCCTCAGAATCCACCCCCGTGAGCAGCTTGTCCATTCTATGCTGTTCTAAGAGGCACCTCAGTGCTCCCAAATTGCCCCTGATCATCCTGGGATCTGTTTGTCAGCCACTGAGAAGAGAAGGATATGGCAACCCACTCCAGTGTTCTTGCCTGGAGAATCCCAGGGACGGGGGAGCCTGGTGGGCTGCCGTCTATGGGGTTGCACAGAGTCGGACATGACTGAAGCGACTTAGCAGCAGCAACAGAGAAAAAAAGAAGCAAGAATTGTTGGGGATGGTGACACAGAAGAACTAATTTACCCAAGAGAAGAGAAATACCGAAGAAGATGCAAGAAAGGAGAAAAGCGTGGAGAAGGAGATGCCCAGCAGAGAACAAGTGAAGGGGTGGCCAGCAGCATCACTGAGCAGCAGGTGCTCAGATGGCAGATCTAAAGAGAAGGGGAGAGACAGAGAGGAAAACAGGAAGGGCAGGGAGGCCAACAGCCATGGGCCCCTCAAGACTGTGGTCCTTGAAGGCTCCTAGCACCTCCACAGGCGGAAATGAAGCCCAGATACGAAGGAGCAAAGAAGCCAGCTCAGCTGGACACAGGTTCAGAGCCAGGACCCCAGAAGCCATGCTCTGCAGGTTCTGATGTTTCTCCAGGGAAAGACAGAGAGTAGGAGCCAAAAACAAGGAGTTGTTCTGCCCCAAATGGGACAACGGCACACCGCCTTAAAAGGGGAAGGGCTGGGGATGAGAATAGCACGTTCTGTTCTGTGACATCAGGTCACAAAAGGAGCAGATGGTGACATTCTTTGCAAATTCTGAACAGTGCAGCCACAGAAAAGGATCTCCCAGACTAGGCTCCCAAATTAGAGCCTTGGGGATGAATTCTGTGTGAGCAGTGTAAAGAGCTGAGGCTGCTCCCCACCCTCACCCCTCTTCTCCAAGCCCAGGGCACTCGGCAAAGTGGAGAGAGTTTTCATTTTTCAAGCAGATGATTTGTTGAGTCTCAAAGAGTTTTGGAAAATTCATGCTGTGAGGGGGACATGAGAAAGCCAGACAAGTTCACTGGAAAACATCAGCAAATCACTCATTGGCAGAAGAATTCTGGGCACTTGCAGATAACCTGCCGCCCACTGCAGACCATCCCCTGAACAGCTTTCAAGGGCCGGGAGGACAGGCAAAATATTCCCAAGTCTGCAGCTGCCCTCAACCTCCCCACCCATGACCAGGACCAATGAAATGAGTTCTCCCAGGTTTAAGCCAGGTGAGGACATGTTGGCTGTAAGAATGATATTGCTCTAGCAGTTAAATGGATGAGAGTAGGGCCAGAAGTGGAGCCCACAGCACAGGCAGCAAAGGCCTTCTGAACTTAACATCCCCTGTGTGGTTCCGTCTACATCCTACTTCTACCTGGGACAGTGGTCCTGTGTGTGTGTCTGTGTGTGTGTGTGTTTAGTCGCTCAGTTGTGTCCAACTCTTTGTGACCCCATGGACTATAGGCTACCAGGCTCCTCTCTACTCCCTTCTCCAAGGGATCTTCCCCACTCAGGGATCAAACCCGGGTCTCCTGCATTGCAGGCAGATTCTTGACTGTGTGAGCTGCCAGGGAAGCCCCAACGGTGGTCTTAATGTAAGCAAAACAAAATCTTTCACCCCATTATTTAATATCATTAAATTCTATTAATATGGAGGTCTTTTTTTAGTACCTAGCTGTATGTTTTCTTGCTTTATAGTAATCTAGAGGTATAATCAAAACTAGTATAGACTGGTTTACATTTATATATATTCAAGCAATATGTTCTTTAAAAGAATTCTGTGTGTTACTCAGGGCTGAGTAATACTAATGGGGTGATGACTTTAAATTCTACTTTAGGGAATTGTGTCATTTGTGACAACATGGGTGAAACTAGAGGTCATTGTGCTAAGTGAAACAAGCCAGATAAAGAAAGATAAATACCATATGGAATCACTTACATATGGAATCTTTAAAAAAAAAAAGTTGAACTCATAGAAATAGTAGAAAGTGGTTGTCAGGAGCTGGGGGAATGGGAGACAGGAAGTTTGGTAAAAGGGTACGAACTTTCAGTTCTAAAATAAATAAGGTCTGAGGATCTAGCGCAAAATCTGATGACTCCAGGTGATAACCCCTGGAGGAGTACATAGCAACCCATGCCAGTATTCTTGCCAAGATAATCCCATGGACAGAGATGCCTGGCAGGCTATGGGGTTGCAAAGACAGACATGACCAAGTGCGCGTGCACACACACACACACACACACACAGGATAACACTGTATCATATCATTGAAAATTGCTACGAGAGTAGAACTTAAATGTGCTCACCAAAAAATAAAAATAAAACAAGTAGGTGAGGTGATAAGACGTGGTCATTAACTCAATGTGAGGAATCCTTTCATAATGTATACATATATCAAATCATTATGCTGTACACTTTAAATATCTCACAAATTTACTTGTCAATTATACGTCAATAAGATGGGGAAAAAAATCAGAAGTTTGCAGCTAAAGGATCTTATGATGCCGCAAGTTCTTTTCCTCACGCTTTCTCTCTTCTCCCAAGAACTCCCAAGAGCAGCGCCTTCTTGCACGGCTGCCTTTTCAAAGCTGAGAGTTGAGTGACCTCTGACACGCACTCCTCCTGGATGAACGTTCCTTCCGGCAGAGCTGACATCTGGCAGGCAGTGGCACGCATTTTATTGACGACCGTCTGTCGTGCCAGCCCCAAAGCCCTCTCTGGGTTCTCCCTGCTCTATTTCTGGAAATCCTGGGGGCAGATGCAAAGGCGAGCCCACAGATAAGAGCCACGTTTGACTGCATGGCACAAACCTTTTCTCTTGTATCCTGGCCTCCTCTCATGTACCAGTTAACAGGCTCTTTGTCAGCAGCTACACTACAGAAAGGGGCCTCGCTGTTTCCTTGGTGGCCTGCTCAAGGCCATGTCTACACTGCTAGCTGCCACTCCTGATGGGCACCCTGCTGGCTCACTGCAGCACCCAGGTGCTGAAGCTCAGCTGTGCTCTGTGTGTGGGTGGGGTGGGGGGGGTCACCCCTACATCCAGACTTCCATTAGACAGCAGATTTCCAGATGTTACCAAAGCCATTCATTTTTGCTCTGAAGTTTTAAGGTGTGTGTGTGTTTAATTTAATGTCCTGCTATTCTATTTTGTTTGGGGGGTGGCTGTACCAGGAGGCAGTCATGGGGAATCTTAATTCACCCACCAGGGATCGATTCTGTGCCCCCTACATTAGATGCATGGAGTCTTAACTACTGGATGGCCAGGAAAGTCCCTCTTAAGGTGTTTTTAAAAGTGAAACCGCCATTTCCATTTTTACCAACAGTCTGTTTTCCTACAACCTTCCCGCCCATTCCCTGCCTCTTGTCCAGTCTTGAGAGCATGAATCACTGAGGAAACCAGTTCCATGCAATACTTGGAATCACTCCTCACTTCCAATTTCTGATTGAGATCACGAGGTCTGGTACCCTTTCCCTAGGACGAAGAGTCTCCCAGGAGGCTCCAGAGTTCATCCTGAAGGCAGACTTCTAACAGGTCGACTCACCTAAGCCCCAGGGTATACCCTGAGGCTCAAGTTGGGCCCCCCAGCTACAGGTGTAAAGTGCTACCAGTTTGAAAGAAGGACCATCTAGGTCTGGCTGGGTGAGCAGGGAGGCCTGTATCTTTAGAGGTGTACGATGCTTTACTTGGCATTCACCAGCACGTCCTTTCCAAACTCAAAATAATTATGTGCTGAATCCACTGTAAATGAAAATCATTGTTTAATGGCCCCTGATTTCTAACAGTTTATAATGCAACTCTTTAAGATGAGCAAACATGTAGTTTAAAATAGATTTTCCAGTTTAAAATTTCTGTGGAAAGCAACAGTAATTTACAACGTGCTGTTTGCTGCTGCTTCTCCTGCTCAGATAAGTGAAGGTAAACTGGTGGGAAGGCTGACGCTCTGAAGGCCCCATCCATCAGCAACAGAGGGATTCTACACAAGGAAAGTGGGTTGGCTCATCCATCCCCAAAATCAAAACAGATTTCCATGATGCGATAAAGTTTGGGAAATTCATAGACATTCACACAATAGAAACACTCATTTTTTTGTCATAACCAAAGAAAATTATCAGTGATTGAGTTCCATTGACTGAGTTCTAGAACTTCATATGAGGTACTACATAAATGTCTCAAAGACACGTAACAGGTAACTAGAAGACCAAAGATGTAAACCCAAACCTATCTGACTCCATAGCTCACGTACTTCCCAATTCAGTACAGCATGGTACCCAAACCTATAGGCTAATACAATTAATGATCAAAAGACTTCTGAGTTAAGTAGATTTTTCTTAAATCCAATGACATTAATGTCACACTGAGGAAATTCTCTGGTGGTCGCGTAGTTAGGACCCAGTTCTTTCACTGTTGAGGCCTGAGTTTGATCCCTGGTCAAAGAACTAAGATCCTGCAAGCTGCATGGCATGGCCCTGAAAAAATATCATTTTGACAACAGCACAGTCAAGAGATGTGTCCACTGCTAAACAAGAAAAGATTACTTTCAGCAGTGACCAAACTGGAGACAGAAGGGCCAGAATGTCTCTGATGGCAATGAGATACATACTAACAAAGTTTCATTGATGTTGATACAAATAAAAGCAATAAGGTAAAATATACATTTCTTGGCAGATCTCAGGAAATGACAAGATAAAATGCAAGAGATGGATAAAAGAATAATGGGTGTTCCTTAGCCTAAGTCAAGCATCAGGAAGTCAAACCTGAGCTCTGTTAGGAAAATGGAAATT